TGGGTGAGTGATAGTCTACTTTGATTTTGGTTAAGGTAGATTATCATTTACAGTGTAATCAGTGAGGGGATTCTGCAGACTGTTGAGGGTTCAGCCTCCTGATGAGTCGGTGAAACTCCGATGAAACAGTTTGTCACAGCCCCTCGTATGTTGTCCTCTTCTCTCTCTCTGCCTACGGTTTTCCGGGCAGTTCTGTTTGTGACGATATATATATATGTTTTTTTTCTTTTTGGCCCGGCCGGGCAAGTGGACCCAGGCCACTCTGGTAGCCTAGTTTTCTACCGAAAATTCCGAAATGGCATTTTCAAACTCAGCGGGTGTTTTCTTTGCGGGCGCATGTTCTTTTTGCCTTCCCCCCCCCCCAGACATGTGTTCTATAGGCGTAATGAAATTGTAGATACTAGATAGTTGTATAAATGTGACCCGAAACCGAGTGAGCTAGCCATGAGCAGGTTGAAGAGAGTGCTAACAGGCCTGGGAAGACCGAACCCACATATGTGGCAAAACACAGGGATGACTCGTCGCTAGGGGTAACTAAAGAGTAAGAATCAGTCGTCCGAGTGAAAGAGTTTTTGAGTACAGATTAGTATACTTGTTTTTGAAAGAAGACTATGCAAATTGTTATTTTTAAAATGCATCGCCCTGTTTGTCTATCATAAAGCGAATTTGAGAGTCAGCCTTGATGGCCTCCAAACGTTCGACTTTATACCCACGGCAAAACGTGGAATAGTCCCCATGGATCATGCTGACATATTAAGATTCTACAATCAGAGAATACTCGGAATCCTGAATTACTACTACTCTTTCATGGACAATCGATCAGCGTATTTTGGGCTTCATACCTTTTGCCCCATAGGCACATGAGTGCTTATACAAAAAACGGCTCATAATGGTGGTGCACCCAGCATGTGCTTTCAGACTGTGTGAACTTGTGCAGGGGTGTTTTTTTCCCCCCCCCTTTTCCCTGACATGTGATCTGCTCATCTTCCATGTGTTGCAGGTGAAGGCAGATCGGCTTGCTGAGCAGTGCAAGTGCGCTGGGCCTTTTTGTTGTACCGAAAGCCCACTAGAGTTTCGTCAGCGTTTGCGTGTGTTCTTAAATATCGCCCGATATCATGGGTTTATTTTATTGCAGGAGGCAGTCGAGTGGCTACTCGAAATTGATGCGGCTGCTGTAGATCCTGGGGGCAAGTAGCTTTCCTCTCTGATTGTATATTATTGATTCAGATTTTCAGCTCAAAATTCAAACGGGGGAAATTTTCAACATTTCTGGTGCTTGGTTCTGTTTGTGTTGGGAACAACTTTGCCTTTGCCGCCTCCCATCCTCTTTTTTTGTTACCTTGTCGCCGTCGTCTTATATATAATTTGTTGTCCTCTTCTCCCCCTCTGCCTACGGTTTACCGGGGATCTCTTTTTGACGATATATATATATAGGGCCTCGCTGCTCTACTCTTGAAAGGTGCAAAACGAGAGTGAATCTTCGGCTAGAACATGGAAAGATACAGCGAAATGATTTTTGTCTTTTGTGTGTTTCAAGAGTAGTGCAGCGAGGCCCATAGTCAAACAGAGCTGCCCGGTAAACCGTAGGCAGAGAAGGAGAAGAGGACAACAAACGAGGGGCTTTGACAAACTGTACCGTCATATATATTGTCACATAGCTATGAGCTAAAAGAGCGCATTTTGCGAAAAAAAGGATAAGAAAACAAAAACATTGAAACCATTCAATTCTCACTCTTCTTTTAACTCCCCCTACACTGTGCTTCTCAGGTACAAGGCTCGCCACGTTGATGAAGTTGAGCCGAGGTGCCCCCATCCCCTTGTGCCATAACAACCCACTTGTACGCTGCGAGAAAGAGGCAGAGTGAAGGGGGAGGGGATAAACACAGGGAACAGAGATGGAGAGAAGACACACAAAGAATAAGGAAGGGAAAGTACGGGAAAGTAGGGAGTGTGGAGTGAAGATGAAGGCAAAAGAGGTTAAGAAAAGGCTCAAGAATGAGTCTGTCCTTGACGACAGAGAGGACATACATTGTAAGGATGAGGTGGATGAACACATGGAAGACCTAGCTGAGCATTCTCAGTGCGACAATTGTCACGACGGGTTGCATTGACCACGCCCACCATACACCCCCGACAAATGGCATGTCGATTGCAGGCCAAAATGAAGGGAGAACGGTCACCACAAAAGACCATGCATTGAGTATAGCGCCCATGGCCGCAAAATGGACATATAGTGTCCGGATGCGGACGGTGCCTGCAGTCAGGAACGGAGGGGCAGTCCTCTGCACACATGGATGCAGAAACCATGTCATTGTAGTGATTGTGACAGAGACGATGGCGGCTACACAGCTGAGTGAACACAGTGTTTGTAGCCGTGCAAAGGAGAAGGACACAGAGTGTTGGTACATTGTCATGATTGTCTTGCTGCAGCACGGGGCCAGAGGAATGATCTTTGACATAAAAGAGATTGCGGACAGTTTGTTGTGGCAAGAAAACAGCATCATTATGTTAGAAATCACTGACATCAGTCGTGGCATGGACCATGGTGCCATTGTCCCACAGCTCCCAGTGGTCAGAGGCATGTACAATGGCCAGGTTGTCACAGCCCCTCGTTTGTTGTCCTCTTCTCCCTCTCTGCCTACGGTTTACCGGGAAGCTCTGTTTGACTATACAGAAATAGGAGAATACAGAATATAGAAAGATAGATACATAATAATCGATATAATACACATATTCTCCTTTTCACCTTGCAGCACCGGGCAGGTGTCAGACTCTAGCATTAGCCGCAATGGCTCAAAACAAAGTCAAAAAACTTTTAGCTTATAGTTCTATTGGCCATGTAGGTTACCTTTTAATTGGTTTTTCATGTGGAACTATCGAAGGTATATATCTATATCTATATATATTATATATCTATATAACTTTTGTCGATATCTGTATCCGATCTTTGGTTCTCTCTTTCTCTATTTGTTGTTTATGACTCACTCACCTAGCTTTCCCAGGGCGCTCAGCCGGGCGTGCCCGGCCGGGCGCCCCGGGCATGAAAAAAATCCACCGAATTTTTTTATTTTTATTTTTTGGTCTACGGGGGTTTGCTGCGCTTGCTGAGTACTGCCCAAATCCGGCCTCATTTTT